CCCCCCAGAGGGGACAGGCCCCGTGCCCCATTCCCCGCCCCCCTGAGCCAGCCAGTCCCCGCCCTGGGGCTGGGTGGGAGCCGGCGCCCCCCAGAGGGGACAGGCCCCGTGCCCCATTCCCCGCCCCCCTGAGCCAGCCAGTCCCCGCCCTGGGGCTGGGTGGGAGCCACCACCCCCTATAGGGGACAGGCCCCATTCCCCACCCCCCATATCTCTCCCCGCAGGCGGACGGCGCTCAGACTGGATGCGACGCTGGCGAGTCTGGCAGCATTTGACTGATTATTACCCTGTCAAGGTAACGGGGGGGGGGAGGGTCACAGGGGTCAAGAGGGCATCTGCCCAGCTCAGGGGGGTGAGGAATGGGGCAGGGGGGTTGGAGCAGTGGGGCCGGGACAGGGTGGGTATGTTTGGGGGGGGTCATACCAGAGTCTGAATATTCAACCCCCCCTGACTGCCTGTCTGTCCGACCCTCCCCTGCCCCTTTCGGCTTATGTTTGTCTGTCCAAATTGTCTGTCTCTCTCCCCACCCATTCCCCGCTCCCGGGGGCTGCCCCCCTGCTCCCCCCTCTGTCCCACACCAACCTTCATGAGCCCCTGCTCCCACAGTGACCCCTTTGCCCCCCTCAGCACCCCTCTTTTATCCCCTCCGGCCCCCACGCTGACTCCGCTGCTCCCTCTGCCCACAATGACACCTGGCCCCTTCCAGACCCCCATGTCCCTCTCTAACCTCCGCCCCCTCCCCACTGACCTCTGCCGCTGCCCCCAACCTCTGCCCCACAATGACCCCCTGCCCCCCTCTGACCTCTGCTGTCCCCAATCTCTGCCTGCCCCCCATTGACTGCTGCCTCACAATGACCCCTGGCCCCTTCCTGACCCCCATGTCCCTCTCTGACCTTTTCTCCCCTCTGCCTGCCCCCCACTGATTCTGACCCCCCTGCAGCTGGTGAAGACGGCGGCTCTGCCCCCCGACCGGAGCTACGTGCTGGGCTCCCACCCCCACGGCATCATGTGCGCGGGGGCCGCAGCCGCCTTCTGCACCGAGGGCCCCGGCTTCTCCCAGCTCTTCCCCGGCCTACGGCCCAGCCTGGCGCTGCTGGCTGGACTCTTCCGCTTGCCCCTCTACCGCGAGTACATGATGGGCTTCGGTGAGGGGCCGGGACCTCTGGGCATGGGGGGCTCTGGGGGGGCAGGGATGGGGGGCACAGAGACACTCCCCTCCCCCTGGGGCATGGTGGGCTCTGGGTCGGGCAGGGATGGGGGGCACAGACACCCCCACCCTGGAGGGTTCTGGGGGGGGCGGCAGGGATGGGGGGCACAGACACCCCACCCCCGGGACATGGTGGCTCTGGGGGGGCGGCAGGGATGCGGGGCACAGACACCCCACCCCCGGGACATGGTGGGCTCTGGGGGGGCAGCAGGGATGTGGGACACAGACACCTCCACCCCTGGGACATGGTGGGCTGGGGGGGGCAGGGATGGGGGGCACAGAGACACTCCCCTCCCCCTGGGGCATGGTGGGCTCGGGGGGGGGAAGGGACACCCCCCGGCACATGGTGGGCTCGGGGGGGGGCAGGGACAAGGGGGGTGAACATGGCATCCCCCCACCCTGGGACATGGGCTCTGGGGAGGAGGACCTGGGGGGAGAAGCTTGTAGCTGCCCCCCCTCCACGGCCATGTGTATAGGGTGTGTTTGTGTGTGTCTCCCATCCCTATGGGGGGGTCTCTCATCCCGGGGGGGCAGTTGGCCTTCTGGGCTCTGCCCCTCCCAGCTATAAAGAGTTTATTTGGGGGGGGAACCCCTGCTCCCCCCTCCCAGGGACCCCCCCATGTCCAGGCCCCTCACTGGCGGGGGGCACTGCTGTGCCCGGGGGGTGGTACGTGTCCCCCCCCCCCTTTGGCTCCCCATGCTCTGGGAGGGGTTAATTGCTCCCTGGGGTGGACCTGGGGGAGCTGCTGGCTTGTTCCCTGGGGCAAAGGGGGTGTTTGACCCAGGATGGGGGGAGGTTGCTGCTTCAGCCCCCCCC